AGGAATTTATGGAAGATAGAGTAGCAATGTATAGTGGAGACTGTTGACTTTTAGCTGACAGGACTGTACTGCAAAAGTTCTTGTAAGTAGTGTGACGATCTCATTAGGACTGTGTTCTGTATCTACTAACGAACATACAGAATTCTGGCAGCTTAAGTTTTGTAGAATGAGTGTTCTGAAAAAATTGCATTTTTTACTTTAGACACAGCTTGTGATTTTTCCCCTGCAGCTGTATTATTTGTTGTAATTAATGATTTATTTTAATTACAGAAAGCTCTTCTACTTTTTAATTCTCAATTACAATGTGTTCCCAGGTGTCACCACAGGAGTTTTGTGAGAAGATGTGGATCCACAATACATATTTTTGGAATTATGAGTGTGATGCACTTTCTGCATACGTGGCTTTATGCAACAAGCACAACATCTGCATTAAATGGAGGACACCTGATTACTGTTGTAAGCAGATAGCCATGTTTTATATCTCGATGTGGCTTTGTACTGCTGCAGTGTTTAGTGATGACTTAAAAATATTTTTCTTTTTATTATTAGAATTACTATCTTATTCAGTCACAGCATTGGTAAGTCAGGGTACAAGTTATTAAGATGTGCTGTTTTAGTTAAAGTGTCATAGTAAGTTTTAATCTTGATTGAATTAGTTGCTTACATAAAGTACTGTTAAAAATATAAAAGTATGTTTTCTAGGATACACACACTTGTTTATACTACCTCTTTATCCAATGAAATGCTGAAAGAACAATAGCAGCACTCAATTTCCTATTTTTATGACTTGCAGCATTGAGTTGTCCTGAGGGCAAGGAATACCAGCCTTGTGTGCAACCCTGTGAAGCCAAGACATGCTTGAATAAGTGGTTCTATGAAGATTCTCCCTGTTCCTATTTAAGGGAAGACTGTGTGTGTAAAAATGGCACTATTCTGCATAGAACAGACTCTGACCTCTGTATACCAGAAGAAAAATGCAGTAAGTGCAGCAAGACAGAGTAGTTTTTCAAATATGCCAACACTAACTGTAGCTCAGTGTAAGCAATGTTTAAATTCTATGTCAGTCCTCAGTAGGTGAGTGCCTGGCACAGCTCCCTTCAACAAAGCCTAGCTTTATCTCAAGCTACAGCTGTTTGTGCTTTCACTTCATTTGGATTCAAGATGCAGTGCTGATGTACTTCTGTGGGGGGAAAAAAGATGGTCATTTTTCTAGCTTCTAGGCTTTCTTTCCTGGAGTACTCAGGAAGGAATAGCATAGTCAGGTGTCCTGGTTTCAGCTGGGACAGAATTAACTTTCTTTGCTGTGCACTCACTGATTATTTTCACTCACAGCAAAGCATTTGTTCATTTGAGATTTTTAAGGTCATAATCTTTTCTTGCATTCATTGATGATAATGCTCCACAGTGCTTATTTTATGCAATAAGGCTACCTAGATGGCAAACTAATTCATAGTTGCTCGCAGGAAATCTGTCCTCTCTAGTTGTTGAAGGGATATAATGTTTTTCTCTCAGCATGTACAGATAACAAAGGACAACCGCGCTCTGCTGGGGAGGTCTGGAATGGGTCCATGAGAGGCTGTTGCATGTATAACTGTTTAGAAAATGGAAGCATTGTTGCTGTAGAACCTGAATGCAATGAGGACTCACCACCAGTCTGTGAAAGAGAAGGAGAAGTTATTGTCCATGTCATTGAAGAGAGGGCTTGCTGTCCAAAGAAAGTTTGTGGTACGTACCACACTTCTTTTCAGTAACAAAAGTATAAAATAAGTGCTTGACATTCATCAGCAGGTGATAATCTTTAGACAGGGTTCAAAGTAACAATTTTCAGAAGTGTTTTTTAGGTACTTGTGGCTGGTTGGGCCAGCAAAGAAGGCTTCTTTTCTTTGTAAGAACTGACTCACCGAAATAATTTTTTTTTCTTAGAAGTCCACTAGTGGAACAAAACTTCTGTTAAAAATGGATGTTTATGCTCTTGGGTGGAATTTCAAAAGAAATTGAGACATACCTGTTGATAGAAGTAGCTTGGTAACTGAGGCAGCCATCAGAGCCCATTTGCTTTTCTTATTAGTGTTTTGGTGTCAAGTGCAGTATCCTCTGACCTACTGCTGGTTCTCAGAAGCAGTATTGTGTGAGCTGATCACTGAATACTAATACTCTGTCTAGCCATGGTTCTTAGGAAAATTAATATGCTTATGGCTCCTAAAATGTTAAGCAAAAGATATTTATTTTTTCATAACCTCTTCAGTGGAAAAAAGAACAAGTGGTCTAGCTGATCTGGTGGTTTTGCTTGTTAGTTAGCTATTGGTAACCGACACTCTGTTGTTCATTTGTTTAGGGAATATTTCTACTACCTTCATCTGTAGGAAGCAGGGCAAGTAAATACCTGCTTCAGAAGTGATAAAACTGTGCTTGCAGAGTGCCACATGAACGGAGTTGTACCAGCCCTGGGTTGAGCTGGGAGGTCTACATGGTGGTGTGGAGTGCACTGTAAGCTGACTTGGCCTGTTGTTAGTTTGTGCATCTCTATGTTAGATAGCAGATACCTTGAGGTATATAGGACTTGCACTTGTATCTGTTCAGATATGTCAAAATTGTTTTTTATCCCACAGAATGTAACATGTCATTGTGTGATGCCACTATTCCAACATGCAAAACCAATGAAAAATTGGTTGCAGGCTACCACCCCCTGTCCTGCTGTCCACAGTACCAATGTGGTAAGGGAAATAAAAAAATTCAGTTGCTGAGGCATTTCCCACACTTGTACTATGTGTTGTAAAAGTTTGCCTTGCAAGTTGATTTGATTGTTAACAGAATGGGGATTGTAAATAGCACTAAGGAATACTGTATTTTTTTTCACACTCTCCAATATTTCTTGTGTTTCTGTTTTGTATCACTTTTGATATACAGTCAATTTGGGGTTTTTGTTTCACTAAGGAGATGAAGGATGCATTTTCTTTATCTTGACTCTTTTAAAAATACTGATTATTTCATATCCTACAGAGTGTGATCCTTCAGTTTGTTTCAATGCTTCCCAGTTGGACTGCAGAGAAGATCAATTTATTGTTGAAGCAAAACAGGAAGATCCCTGTTGTTTCTCTTATCTCTGTGGTGAGAAGCCTCTAATATTTTTGTGGATAACTAAGGGATAGTTAAATATTTACAAAAAACAGTCTATAGTTCTAAACCTCATAATTTAATCCAAGAATTATTGGAGATGTTAGTGGGACTTCACACAGGTCAGACTCACTGGAGCATGAATTATTCCTGGGTTTTGGAATCTTTTATTTCTAACATCATGTTGATCACCATACTTGCACTGCAGAATAAAATTGTTGACAGACACTGATCTTCACAACCGAGTTACATATATGATCTATGCCCTCAGTGTGTTGTGTCATGAATCACAGCTCAGTCTCAGTAGTTCTTTAGCAAACTGGCTATTACTTAGTATAAATCCTGACACATAGGTGCATGTACTACTGCTTTGTTTTGTTTTTATATTTGAACATCAATCCATAAAAGCTCTGTTATCCAACTAACAAACATCATACGTGATATTAAATAAAATTCACATGTGCTAACTTTCTAATTTTTAAAACTTTGTAGATGTCTGATTTCTTTTTTTTTATTTAGTTTGTGAATCTTGTATTGAACCTGTTCCCTTGTGTAATGAAGGGGAAATCCTCACTGTAGACCTTAATACCATACACTACTGTTGTCCTCATTACTACTGCGGTGAGTATAACTGTTATTGGTTCGATGTATTACCAACTTTATTAAATATGACAGAAAGTGTGGGTGTGGAGATTTTTTTGATTCAGCATTTAGGGTGGTCTTCAGTTAGAGATTAAGAGGTCTAAATGAGGGTGTCTACATTTGAGGTAGGTTCAAAGTTCTTGGTATATACTCAATAGTGGTCTAACCAACACTGTCAGTGGAGTGTGCGGAGCCTATTTAGTTCAGCAAACAGTATGTAGCTACTTTCAGGATGGTCTAAATACCGATATTTTAATCTGGAGATGAATCCCATCTTTGGTGTACAAATATACAATTGTTCTTCTATTAAATCACCCAAAATAAAACAACTTCCTTGTTGTTGTTCCTCTGTTGTATCATTCATTGGTGATTGGGCTCTTTCTTTGCACTGTCAGATTTTAGGGGAAGAAGTTGGTCAAGGGTTTCAAATACTGCTGGGCTGACTACCATTCAAACAATGACAGGCCAGATAACTGCTTTATTTAGATCAGTGGAGTATCCTTGCATTAACTCTTGTGCTATTACAGTCTTCGGGTAATTTTAATTAATTAAATTGTCTTCCAAAAAGTTTGGAGCTTAGTGATTTTTCCTTTAGGTGGTTCCACATTTTGGTCTTTTTCTTTTCTTAGTACTTGCACGTGGGTGAATGCTTCTTGAAAGGCTTTTGTTACTGTTTTTGTCAACTTTTAGAAGCTAGAAAGTTAGTATGTGGGGGGTTTTTTTCAGAGTTCCAGTAAGCCTCCTCTGGTAAGACAGGCAAGTATTCTCTTATTAGAGTCATTCCAGGAGGGCAGTTGCTCCCTGTTGTCTTAAGGAAACATGTTTTACAATGAAGCCAAAACAGAAAAAAAGTATGTTTTTCCAAAAGCTGTGATTTTAGTTGTCTTTGGTATTGGTTATCAGCTTCAGTCTCTCTGAAGTAGGAAGAATATTAAATGATTGCTGTGTGATGTTTTCTAAAAATCTAAACTTGATCTAAGGCAACTTAAAGCACTTTTGAAAATCTTGGTTTATTTTTCAGTTCCAAGTGTAATTGAGATGCTTAAGAAACACAATAAAAATTTATTTTAAAAGTCATTCTTTTTTAGGATAGTTTATCAAGAGAAATATAAGCTGGAAAATAAAAAGGAAATTTGAGTAAATTCTAATACCTGTCTTTTCCCTCCCATTTAGTTTGTGATGAAAATCTTTGTCCTGAGCCTCCTATGAATTGCACAGATGACATGACACTTGTGAAGAAAAAAATACCTGGGCAGTGTTGTCCAGAATGGCACTGTGGTAATTATTACTTTATTCCTTAGTCACTGCTGCTAACAAAAGCTAACAAGTAACTAACTGAGTAATATTGTTCTCTTCTCAGAATGTAGCTGTGAAAATGCTACTATGCTGACCTGTAAATTGGTAAGCACTGTCCTTTACACACTTCTGTTAACAGTGTTCAGCCTTCTTTCTTACTCCTCCCTTTCCATTCCTTGTTTCAACTAGTTGTAAAGGGTGATGAGACTGAATAGGGACAGGTTGGAATTCTGCCTCCCAGTCCCCAGCTCAAGCAGATATATCCCAAGTTTCTGCACAGTGTTGTCAACTGTTCCCTGGGGAAATTTCACTTTGTGTGTTTTTAGATGGCAAAAGAAGAAAAGTAAATATAATATTATTCTGTTCAATGCTGACTCAAAACAATATGCTGGGAAGTTTTTCCATGTAAATAATTCCTAATTGTTTTTAATAATTAATGAGGGATGAAATTAAAGATCCTATGTATCATCTGGAGAAATGTGTTATTTTGTTAATAATTTATGCTTTTAATTAAAATGATTTAACATTATTGAATTTAGCTGATATGAGAAGTCATAAATATTTTGCTCCTCACATACTTTCTCGTAATAGGGACTGTGGTCTGGAAAATAATTATGAGTGAATGTTCAAACTCCCATTATTACCAGTGACAGGGATATTTTGCCTATCAAATGCCCGTAGCTTTTCCTTCTCTTCCCCTTCTGGGAAGACTACATAATGTAAAGTCTAAACAGGAGTTGCAAATTTGAATACTTTTCACCTATCTTTTAAAAGAAATTTCATAGAAGGCAGGCTTTTGCTGATATGTTTGTTATGGAAATAACTTTGTATGTCAGGAAAAATTGCTGCTTAGCCACTCTGCTGTTTATATGCATTCCTAGAGAAAATGAAGTGCTTTGCTCCTGTTTAAAGAGATAAATACATTGAATAACTGAGACCAAGCTACTGTTTCTTGAGTACATTGCAATTTTTCATTAAAGCAGGAGTAGAAGTGATGAAAGTAATATTTTACATTTTGAGAGAGTAATTGTCTGTTTAGCACTACATTTAATTGTGCATGACTTTGAAAACTCTTTCATTTTTTATACTCAGGGAGAAGTGAAAAAAATAGATAGTAGTGTTTCCAGTGTTTGTGGATGTACTCACTACATTTGTGGTAACTTTTTCATGTTTCTATCGATTTTGTTTTAGTTTTTAGTAAAAAGGGCATGCAAAGAAAGCAGAAATAGGACCATAATAACCTTCTCAAAGATATACATTCTTTCATCTTGATTTTATGGGTATCTACCTAGTTATGCAATTATGCTCTCTTTTCTGAATATGATGCTCTGTCTGCTAACCCATACATCTGTTCTGGTGGAGCGTAGGAGTGTCGTAAAACTGCCCATGGTTTCAGAGTTGGGTACCGTCTCTCTGGTGAGATGCCGATAGGAAGCAGGTTGTGAACCTTAGCTGAGCGTGAGCAGTGTGACTGCTACTAGTCCACTGTCAAGCACAAATGAGATGACATCTCACATCAGAGCAACAGACCTGTCCAGCCACCACAAGCATAGGTGTCCAGTCTTAAGATCAGACCTCTGCTCCCTTCCCCCGCTCAACTACCCCACGTAGACCAAATTTCAGCTGTACCGTGCATGGAGGTGCTTGAGGTATGCTGCAATCCTGCCTGCAGCCCAGGCTAAACTGCCTCTGGGAGCAAAGCAAACACTTACAGTACAGCTTGAGCATGTTACTTTCCCACAGGTAACTGTAGACATACTAATTTACTTGACAGAAAGGCTACATTTTGTGATGTACAAAATAATTCATATAGTGTACTTAGCCAGTGTTAAATATTAGAACTCTTTAAAAATAAGAACAACCAATTTTTTTTTTTTTTTTTTTTACTTCCATAGTAGGAACACTATTAATTTTAGGCAGTTTTGCATTTTGTAGCATTTTCTTAAACTGAACGATACATCCTCCCCTCTTTGTTTGGTAATTAAAACCACAAACCAATCAAATCTAAAAGTTAGAAAACTTTTGCAGAGCATAGGACTTTGCCCTATTTTCATCTTCACAGTGATTCTGTTGATTTGCTTGATGATTTTTTTCTTTCCTCTGATAACATTTATTTATTTTGTATTAGAGAAGGATGATGTTTGCATCTTCCAAGAGGTCACGGTACTGAATCCTGGACAGTCAGTGATTCAGTACTTGGACGGAGACCTTTGTTACACTGTACAGTGTTTACAAGAAAAAGATCAGAACACAGGATACAATGCCATGCATTTTACAATGGTGAACTGTTCCCAGCAATGTGAAGCTGTGAGTATTCTTAAAATACAGGAATGATGAAATTTTTTGGCACAACTACACAATTAGGACAAAAGTCAAAGCAAAGACTTTTGCTAGTCCTGTTTGCTCAGCAAGAACTTGAGTACTTAACAGTGATGATGTGTATCTTTTGTCTCTAGGATTATTTTGAGAGGCAATTTCTAGTAGTATATGTAAACATATCCATCCATACATCTGTGTATTGTTTCTCCTGGTATTTTTAGTTTCAGAAATAAATGAATTTTACTATACCATATGTTTAAACAATACTTGGTTTTTTTTTCCTGTTTTGCTTTTCTTTCTTTTCCAGCATCAAATATATATTCCTTCCTCCAGTCACCATACTTGTTGTGGTACCTGTCAAAACGTGTCCTGCTCTTTCCATACTGAGAATGGAACCCTAATTGTGTATGAGGCAAGTGTCTCTGGGCAGATAGAAAATAACTATAGTGATACGATAAACAGATGTCTGACAGTCACTTCTTAGTTAACTCATGCTGTGATTCTTGCTTCATACCTCCTTACTGCTGCTTACCCACTTAGGGACTGTTTATGGTATATGATAGGAAAAAGGTGTGTTTATTTAAAGACCTATGATTTCACACTAGGTGAACACCTTATTTCATTTTATTGTTTGTAATATTTACCACAAAGATATGCGAGTGTCATCATTTACTTAAGGCTGGCTATGCTCTAAGTGCAGAGTAGGGTTCAAATTGTACCTCTAAGTCATATACTGTGATTTAGAAGAGTTGGGAACTTCTGAGTCTACATCAGGATTTTGTCCCCCTCTTCCCAGATCCACTCTTCTTTCTGGTTTCTACAGAAAGGAAGTGTGCAAACTGAAGCACTGGGGTTCTCAGGATCCTGATGGTGTATTCCAGCATCCACATAGAAGGAAATTCAGATGTGGCCATGACTTGGTTCATGCTTCGCATTGCTTTTGGAGGAAAAGAAACTATCAGACTTTTTTTTCTGTCCCAGAGCCCTTTCATTCTGCACTAGGACAGCTGTGCTGAGCAGCATGTTGGAGACTAGAGCCATGGGACCAGGGAGGAGTAGCCACTGGTAGATAGGAGATGGTCTTTCCCTTTGCTGCCTATGGGTGGTCTGCAACAAACTTTCCACTCCATTAGGTACTACAGCATGAGGGCACCACTTTTACAGACATTTTGGGTTGGAGATAAAGCTGAAATGTTTTATTTTTCCTGACAATGGTTTTGTTTTATATATTCAGGAAGGAAGCACTTGGAGCTCCAACTGCACCAACTACAAGTGTGCAAAGACTGCTGTGGGGACTATCATACTGGGATCGAGCGTTGTCTGCCCTCCCTTTAATGACACTGAGTGTACAAAGGTTTGTACTTTGGGTGAGGTAAGTGACAATAACTGATCTGGAGTTTGGCTTACGCTTGACAATGAGTGCATACCTCATGTACTTTCTTTAAACTGAAAAAAATTGTAAGTAAAAACATGTAAGCAAGCAATTCACAGTCTTGTTTTCTGTGTTCCTGTTTGCTTTTTGCTGTGAAAATATCTGAGAGGATTATGAAAATTTGTTTTGGATCTTTATGATGACTGGATTTTAAAGTATTGTGGAATTGGAATCATGCTTGAGATACCACTATATAAAGTGCTAATCACTATGTCTTACTTTAGTTTGGCATAACAGTTTGCCAAGTTTGTAGTACACATACACTAAATAAATTGGATCAAGCAATTCAGAAATGCTGCACACAAAATGGGCTATATTAAAAACTCCTTAAGCTGTGCAAAGTTTAGAAAGATGACAGAGTATATATAAACTTTATCATCTCATAAACTAAACTTTGTATAACATAAAAAAATATCTATCATACAAGAAAGGGTATTACCTACATCGTATATCTAAAAATGTAAATTTGGCATACCCACATAAACTTGTTTGAAGAATGTTGGATACTTCAAGTACATTACATATTTGTTTACAATTTTAATTTCTATTTTAATCCTCTAACTTTGTAATACTTCTTATAATTCTGGCACTTGCAGGACACCATATATTTAATATAAGCTACAAATAATAATAAAATAAACATACATGTAGAGAGGCTAAATACTATTGCTGCCTAATTTAGCAGAAGTCCTACTTATCCATTGCATTTGTTTAAAAAAAGTCCTTATTTCTGCCAATCCTGAAGAAGGCATTCTATCTAAAATTAATGCTTGCTCTACTTCAACTTTATACTTGAGTTTCTTCCTTGGAACCCTTTTGTCACTGTCTATTAGGATCTTTCCTTAGTAATAATGGTTAAGATTTTAAAGAATGGAGCACTAAAATTAACTTCCTGACTCAGTCTGACCTGTTTTTTTCAGAGATGCTGAGCATAGACTTGAGCCAGTAGCCAAGAAGAAATCTCTTCTGACAAGCAGCTCAAGATAATTTAGGAATATGGATTTAAGAGGCTGAATTTAAGTGTGATTTAAGAAGTTCTTGAACAACTTATTCAGTATTTTTTCTGTAATGAGATAAAAAATGCATGCTAGAATGAAAAGATGGAAGCTGAAAAATGTCTTTTGTCTGTTGTTTTCACAAGAGTGCTATTTATGTTCAGTTGTCTGCTTGATACACAGTTCTGGGCTATACACTAAAATTGTGGGTGTGTTTCTGGCTTGCACCCATTCTGACAGATTCTGACAGCCTCTCTCTTTGTCTCTCTCTCCATCCCATGCTCTCTTTTAATTTCAAAAGGAGATTTTCTTCACTTTCACACATATTTACTTTCTAGCTAACAAGCAACTTTAGAAGAAATCAATAACAAAGACTATAATTGAGAAAAAGAATTGAGCACACCAGTGGTTCTGAAATTCTGCAGTTAATGTTCTCTTTCAAAAGTGTGGACATATACACATACATATTTAATGTAAAGACCTAGTTATATGCCAAGGAGAAAATTAACACCTAATCAGTGTAAATCCTCTTACATCATCAGCAAAGTTGCATACATGAATTTTTTAAACTAGCCTAATTCAGTGGTTGGGAAGTAGATGGTAGTAGATGATATAAAAAGATGCTCATGGAAACCAAGTGGTTTATTCAAAGGAGAGTAGATCAGGTCAGATAAGCAGTGATGAGTTCATTTTCAATGTCAAAGGCTGTAAAGAATTTGTGAACCAAACCTTCAGCTGATCATATATGTTTAATTCTTTTGATTTCAGCGATACTAATTTTTATTAGTTGGATATCTTTAAAACACAGGATGTCTTGAGACACAATTCACCTTTGCATTGGGCACAGTCTTTTTTGATATATTCTCCTTTTATTTTCCTAGAATGGAGGAATTGTGCAGATGTATAATGATGGCTGCTGTAAGACCTGTAAGTAATGAAGGCTGCAATATGTACTAGTTTGGCTTTGGTTTTGCAAGGCTTGTTGTTTAACCTTGCCGGGACATAAAGAAGGAAAAAGCATGCAGTCCCACCACCCCCAAATCACATAAAATTGTTTTAGTTACCTAACTACTCCTATTAAAAGGTCTTGCTTCATTTGGCTGCTGACTTGCTGATTTGGTGCTGACTGCTGATTTGGCTGCTGACATCATTGTTCTGGAGTATAACCAAATCTCTCCAAATAGAACCTGTGGAAGATGAAAAGTTATCTCAGTTAAAATAGTGAACACATTCTCTTTATTGCTAAACTGACACTAAAATATTGCCTATATGATTTTCACCATAAAAGATAAGAATTTTCACCCCTAAAACTGATTCCTAATTCAATGATGTTTTGACATGCGTTTCCAAACTTACCAATTTTTTCTGCATGACTGGTATGCATTTTCTAGGGCCAAAATACTGGAATATTTTTTTTTTAAATCCCAAATGAGGAAAAGTTATAGTAATACTGATGTTAGAAACCCGTATATAAAATTGACTTTTTAGTATCTGGGAATACATTCACATTTTCTGAGTGTGTAACTTTAAAATATGAATTGTGATGCAAGCTTACATAAAGGTTTCATAATTTATTGAATTTTAAAAGTCAATTGAGAACAAACTGATTTTCTCTGCAGTTTTGACTAGCAAAGGTTTTATTATAAAGGTGTATCATTATGTATACATTAAAAAAAACCATATAATTCTTTAAAAGTAATTGTGTTGAGCAAGAACTTGTTAAATGTCACAGAAAATCCTCCCTTCTCTTTTTTGGCATTTTTGTGTTCAGTGTTAGAGTTAAAATACACAAGCAAATTAGTCTTTGGAATTTTTTTAGAGAAACCTTTACTTAATAATATTGAATAGAAAGCCACAGATTTATAACCTTATATTGCACAGTTATGAAATAAAGTTCAGAAGTGCAATGTATCATAAAGAATTTGGCCATAGAAGTGGAAATACTAATATTTATCAAACACAGAACAATACTCAAGTTTCCAAGTTATGCAAAGCTTTGAAAGTGAACTGCAAGTATTGTCATTTTATTGTATCCAAAACATACAAAATAAAAGCTATTTTAATGAATACTTTTTAAAAAAAAATTAGAATCAGCAAAGAAAAGTCACACACCAGAATTGTGCTAAAATCTTATTCATCAATATTCTTTCTCTAATGAGATAAGCTATGTTGAAAAATATTTAACTAAACCCCTGAAATTAGGTTGGCTTTATTTAGAAAATTAGTCTGAAGAATTCATGGCTACTGGTTTTCTGTTGACCAGGAAGATTTATAATTTTGGCCGTATTCTGTGGCCTGAGGGAAGGCATCGTTATACTTCAGAAATACTTGCTGAGGTGGCTGCTAAAAACCCAGATGTAATTAATACAATTATATGCTATTTTATTTTTATTTTGTTTTATTTTTAACTAAAAGCATGTGCCCTGTGGTGAAGCAGTTAAAAAGAGTACTTAATAAATAGAGCTTGCAACATTTTGGGGTTTTAATGGGAACAAACAATCTTTCTGAAAGAGCTTGATTCAATGCATGCAAAGTGAGTGTCTATATTTAATTCTTACCTTGCCATAGAGAGACTCATTGCAAAAGTTTACAGGGAAGCATCATTCCAGTTTTCTGTTAACCAGAAGAGTAATAAAGTTTAGGCCCTCTTTAGTGAGTGTTGAAGCAGTCACGGAGTTTCTAAATTTGGAAGACTAACAGGAAAGCTCATCATCTTTTGCTGAAAGAAAAATTGCAGTTGGCAGTGTAAGAATTAATGAAGTGTCATTTATATAAAAATGTTTTCCTTTCACGAGAAACTTATATTCCCAATGATTCTGCCAGGTTCTGGATTGGGTCTATTACCCTTTGCCATTAGTCCAGTAGTGCCTACTGATAGTATTAATTGTGAACCAGGTATTATTTTTAATAATGTATTTTCTTTTTTTAATAATAGTATAAGCACTGCTCGATATATGCGTATAGCTGTCATCACTATTAAATGTTACCATACAGTTAATGGTACTTGGCCCGATACTGAGAGCTGCTGATCCCCTGCTGGCTTCCTTGCTCAGTGGTTTTCAAAAGCCTGGTTAGGCTTCACTGCTCAGCACCTGTCAGAATTAGGCTCCTCCATTTACGGTATATGCTGCTGATGGTTCTTCCTCCTGTTCATTTCTGAAACTGGTTTTAATACATGAACTTACTGTACAGTGTAGTTGTAATAAGAAATGTTACTTTTAAAATATCATTATCCTGAATACTGTTACCAAGAGACTCTATATCTGTTCCCACATCTCTGAATTTAATTACCAAACTGTTTTTGCCTTAAAATAGAGCAACAGAATGCATTACTGCCTGGTCTCACCTTGGCAGATATGGATTTATGCTGTATTTCTTCTTTGTCACAAATAACATTTTCCAAAGTTATGAATATGTTGGGAGGGGGGAAACATACAATTACACATAATTAAATACACTTTACACCAGAAATTACAGAATGTTATAGAACTGTTGCATTATGATCATAATTATTTGCTTTTAAGGATAGGTAAGTCACAGAAACTCCTTAATCAAATAAGGAGTGGGTAAAAAGCACACCGGATACTGAATGCAGATCTTGAATGCTGAAGGTGGGAGACAGAAAACTATAGCAGCAGAGTTTTCGTTAGACATCAGCACCTTATACACTGAAGTGTCATATATCTCTGTATACGACTTGCAAAAGTACAAAGATCATGTTTTCTACACATATTCATACTGGCAAGCGCTTTTTAATGGAAATATCACAGGACTTCTTAAGTGCTGCTGAGGAAGGGAAACTAAGATGCTGTAGGCTAACAGCTTCCATGGTACAGTGATGTGCTAGTTCAGTAACAGAATCTTGTTTGATCCTGCAATATGCAGATTAAAATCTAGCTGTACTCTGCAGACAGCCTGACTTTTAAATATCCACTGGAGCTGCACAGTATCTTGCTAACTCAGAGCCCATTTGTCTTATAAAAGTGCTCAGAAGCTTCTGGGGAACAGAAAAGTTGTTCTTTTTGTGAACATCCAACATGAAGGCACGTGCTGAAGGTGGAGAAACTCTGCTGAATAGTGCTTATTATTTTATATGCATTGCATATATGGTCATGTAGCAAACCAGAATTGTTGCATAGCAAAACTAACAGATTATTTTGATGGATAGCGAGATAACTGCTGTTACACAGATAGTAATAACAGGCTGATATGGAGTGCAGCATGAAAGTTTGTATGTTTGATTGTTTCAGTATTATATTATTATTTTTATTATGTTAAAAATGGCTTTGCACTGTACAGCTTTATTTTTCAAATAAAATAAAAAACCTCCCATCAATATCTCCCAGACTGTACTTAAAAATGCAGTATTTCCCTAATCCTAGATCTGTATGCTGACACAGTGCTACATGCTTCAGTTCTGGTGGTAAAAACTGTGCCATATTTAGCAAATACATGCATCTCTCTCTTTCAAAGCTTCCTTGAAGGACAGATTTCTCAAAAATACATTGAAATTATATAGTTCTATTTAAATTTTAAGCATTCAAAATAGCATCAAGGTTGTAATCACCTTCACAGCTTTACCTTCTCAAATGTTAATTTCTGAAAATTTTCTAAAATGCAAAATAAAAATCTTATTTAAATTCAAGATTTCTATTAAAACAATATTCCTATTCAAAATTACTTGAGACATCTTTTTTTCTATTTGCTTATACTTTTCTTGCCATACGTGCAATTCAAAATCATACTAATATTTTAATATTTATAAAATCTGAATAACTTAATAGGCCACTTGATGCCTCATATGTGCCAGATACAAAATCGATATCTCTCCACAGGAAGTATTAATTAATGTATATTTTTTTCTAGAAATTATTTAATTATGGAATTAATAGTTCCAGTATGTACATTAATAAAAACAAATTTTAATTATTAAAAAAAATTTTAGTAGCAATTACAGAACAAAAAGTATATTGATTCAGTATGCATTTTTCTGTATTTTATCAGGCAAAAAGGAAGAAAGGATTTGCCAGAAAATAACAATCAGGACAACCATAAGAAAAAATGACTGCATAAGTCAAAGCCCGGTAAGCATAAAAGACCTTGTGTTTGATGCTGGGCCTATAGCATACCAAATAAAGTATTAAGAAATGGGTTACAGCTATCAAGAAGCAACAAAAAATGACACTGTCTTCTCAGAAGCAGACCTTTGGCCTTAGGAATGTTATCCTACTTGTAAATGGAGTAAAATTAGCTGCTCCTATGGCTGAAAGACTGAACCCTCCTACCTGGAAAAACATCTAGCTTCAAATGAAAATTACACAGCATAATTGCTTGCAACTAACAAAGATATTGAACTCTTCATCATGAAATAACATCCCACTCTAAAAGAGGAGTAGAAATGCTTCCACTTAGGATGTGATGGAAACACTGCTGCATTCCTCTTTGAAGACCTTTACTCTCTGCGTGCCTTCTCCTCCACATAGCATGTGTCTCCATATGATAAATTTATGATCCCATTTATTTATGGGTCTGCTTAAGACATCTTAGTTCTCAGCTTTGGTGTAGCCCCATCTACAAAACCCAGGACATGTCTGAGCAGCAAATGTGCTTCTCATGTAGCACTTAAAGGAGAAGGAATCAACACAATGTCTTGAGACTTCTGAAAGGCCTCTGAAAAGATTCTGTTGAAGAACCCAGTCATAATGGAAGAGGCAAAATATCATAACAGATTGAAAGCTGAGCAAGTTAATTTCCATCCTGGTAGAATGTCAACAGTGACATGCCCAAAGTTTAACAGTAGGAGTGTGTGGTGTATTTATTTAGTTTTAAAAAGAGGGTTGGTAATGAGGGAGTATAAATATGTAGATGAAATTACAGTTATTTGCTATAGTTAAGAGAAGACTGGAGTTACTTTGACAACCTAGGTTAAGGGACAAAATAAAGACATGGTATTGACTAAAGCAAAGAATATTAAAAAGAAAGATTTAGTGAAACCTCACAGGTTTTTAAGCAAGCTGAAAAGGACCTTGCCCTTGCATCCGGTTCAGTGAAAGCCTCCGTTAAATGCCCTCCTGCAGACAGAAAGGCTAACTAAGAGTTATGACATTTAGGTAATAGGGTAGGGAGTGGAAACAAACCCAAAGTGTGTCCTACAAGCCAACAGTGCAGTACTATTGAGGGTTCTCTGTGCAGTTGCGGTTCCTCTACATTGCTGCAGAACTAGAGAGAGTTCAGAGAGGAGCAATGAGAATGTTGGCCAGGTCACACCATGAATGGCACAACAAATGAAGCCTTCCTTTTTATGACTTTCTGTTGTAGATTCTTTATCTTTCCTTCTCCCTCTCACCACCTTTCAAAAAGACCTACCCCTATCCCACCTCCATCTGTATCACAAGCCCCTTTCCCTAGTATCTTCTTGTTTGCTATTTCTTTGATGGCTGCCCACCCTTCCCACAGTCCAGATTCCCTTACCCTTCACCCAGAAGTACCTTCAGATTTTCATATCCTCAAAATCTCTGTTCACATCCTTAGCTCCACTTCCTCTCCACTCCAGCTCCCGCACTGCAAAACCGCTGGCACTCTATTTCAATCGCATGATTTTGGCCCATCAAATGGTGGTATCTCCTATGGCTGATTTAGAACTACATACATGTTCTTTGAACAGATTAATGCTGTCAAACTTTGGATAGGGCCGAGTACAATTACATCTACTCAATTAATAACTGAGATTATGAATGTTTAGGACAAGGCCTTTTTTTTCCTGTCAAATTTCAGGAAAGCTGTAAGAGTAACATTTTCATCTTATTTGTTTGGATATGGCTCATTTGTTCACAGGCTGCTTGGAAGGGAGTGGATCTCTCCCACACTTCACTTGTATAAGAAATTAAATTTAAAACAATCACAAAACAAACTAGATCTAGTATGGCCGTTCTCAATTTCCCAGCGTATCTACTCTGCTAAGTTTTAATGAAAAAATATAAATTTCTTTTCTGTCAGAGTATGAGGTAAGAAGATTATTCACATAATGTAATAGTGAGAAAAAGCTTTTCTCTACTCAAGTCTAGAGCACAAATAATTTTATAGCCTTGCTGTGTTCTTACTGCATCTACTTTTTGGATATATCTGTTACAGTGATAGCACAGCTAATATTGGTGTGCCCCTAGTCACAAGCAGTATGAATAAGAACGGGAAAAGCTTTTGCACTGATACGCTTTTCCTCTTGAACCTTCAGGAAGAAGGATAGATTTTCCTTTGTTATGCTTAGAAGAGTTTAACTTTTCAGGAGTGAGCATGAAAAGAACATGAATTTAGCTATGCTGTTTTGAAGTTATTAATTTGTAAACTGGGGATTTGATTCTGGTATCCACAGCACAACATTCTGCTCAAGGGTAAGATGGCATACACGATTAAACAATGAAAAAAAAGTGTAATTAAAAAAAAATTAAGGATGTGTCTACACTTAGAATGAATGAATTTTGGAAGATAAAATTATTTTTAAGATTAGTCCTTTTCAAATGTAAAAATGGGTTTTAATGACAAAGAATTTTGAAATGTAATATCTTTATAACAAAATCTGAGATATCTAATTTCAGTTCTTATTTTATTCATAGATAAATGTGGCTTCTTGTGATGGAAAATGCCCATCTGCAACAATTTTCAATGTCAATATTGATAGCCGTTTAAGATTCTGTAAATGTTGTCGAGAAACTGGAACACGTAATCTGACTGTGCCACTACGCTGCTCAGGAAACGGCACTGAAATTATGTACGTCATTCAAGAGCCTATAGACTGCTCATGCCAATGGAACTAAACATTACTGTGGCTATCATTTAATCTGAAGAATTAAAATGAGTTTCCTTTTACCAGACTCTGGTTTTTTTACCTTAGATGGCTACAGTACTCTGCAGGGAAAAACAAAAAAAAAGTCCTGAATGATACTTTATAATGTAACTTTTCACAAATTTAGTAAAGATTATGTTGTTGGTTGTTCTTCACATTTTCTTTTTTAAACATTGGCATGTACAGAAAGAAAAATATAAATCCTTTTGAACAAGGTATAATTTAGCCATAATTTATTTCTACTCAGTGGTTTTCCAATGAGCTGTTGAAAGCTGGTTAATGTCTTTTTCCAGTGTTTTAAAATTTTGGATTATGGCTACCTATCAAAGTTCAGAATTTCTCAGTGGTTCTTTTACTTAAATGGGAAAGAAGCACATGAGGGTTTTGAGAAATGACTGAAGTAATTTATTTAAAAAATAATGGGTTCAGCTGAAACACTTTTTATCTTGCTGAGAGTCTACCTTTTGTCCATTGAGCTATTGTCAATGACTGGACTCTGCTTACACTGTAAGTCACTGAGAAACACCATGACTGTGGTCTGTAAATACCTGTAGTGAATCTCCAGAGCATACAGTAGAATCATAATGTCTGTAAACCTTAGCAATTTATTTGATTTTTATATATATTATAAATATGAAGCAAAGGCAAAGGCTGAAGAGTTCAAGCTTTTGTGCCTTTATTAAAAACATCTAAAAGCTGTTTCTGATATGAAGGATTGTATTTTATATCCATTTTTCAGTTTTCACAAATAAGAAATTGTCTGTCTACTACCTGTAGAATAAGATACTATGTACATATATTTATTTAAAACCCAGAATACTGGGTGTGTTTCTTCCTTTGTTTTCCAGTTTGAAGATTTGTTTTCAGTGTATTTTATAAAATACATAAAAATTATTATTTTTTTTTAATATTGAGATTTGAACTACTGATGGAGTTGGGATTCATAATTTTTGAGTAGAGGAAAAAAAACAGGTAAAATATATGTTTTGAAGGGCTTAGGTGAGTTATTAATGTTCAATCAGTCTGTGAATGTTCATGATTCAGCACCTTAAGCTGAATATACTCTCCCTTTTACTAAACATACTACATAATCTTATCTTAAAAACCAAGAATACAATTTTAGGCATGTTTTTAGAAGATTACTTTGCTTTATAAACTCATTGAATTAAAATGGTTTAAATGATGACAGTATTTTCCTTATCATGGAAATTGTTTCTGAATTAAAATTGTTTAAAAGTCTGAAAACTTTTTTACAAATAGTTTTTATTTCAAGTTGTCATCATTTAATTACAAAATGGTTGGATTATCACATTGTTTTATACAATGAAAAATAAGCAATATAAAGTTAAAAAAGACTATTTTGCTACTTCGTGTGACAAATCTTTAAACGTTTGCTGTATTCAGTTTGATGGCTTATAAAGAAAAATAGCATATATAGTGAAATCTGTCTGTACTAACAAGACTGTCATCTACTCTTCCATCTACTTAAAAATAATTACTTGGTTTACAAATTAAAGAACAATCCATTGTATTAGCAGTAAAATATTTAACCATTATAAAGAAATAGTGATCACCTAGCAATCAAACTAAAGTGGCATTCTGAGAAAGCATATCCTCCATTTGCACATTTTTATGATTTGTATGGCAGATATTTCAAGTTGTGTTATATACTAGGGCCTAGAACCCAAGTATTCTCTGATATTGCTGTTGGAATTTGTGTACTGAAACTTTCCATGTAGGCCAGAAATGGAAATTAAATCATAGTCATAGCCATAAAGTCCGTGCACTCATACAGAAAATTAAAAGGATACTTTCAAAAGAAAAATACATCCTTGGGGCCTTTTGATTTATTAACATAGAGACAGGAATCCTACATTTGCATCAAGAGAGTTTGGCCCAAAACTTCTTAGTGAATTTAGCATTCGACAAATTACTTAAGGAAGCTCCTACAAGATAGTATTTTTCCATATACTTTATGTGTTTTGATGGAACAGCTGTGCTTTTTGTAAGCAATGTGCTTTTCCAAGATTCAGATCTGTATTCGTAAAGAGAAATTAATAAACATTATTTCGCAGAATGATAATAAACCAGTGTAGTGCAATTAATTTACCTGTGCCACTAAAGATGAACGATAATGCAAAATCTTAGACAAACCTGGAAAACAGGAAAACAGTTATGCTTAAAATTAACTTCCTGATAACCTGTAATAGGAGAATAGTATTAAAAGATCTTTATCCCACTTACCCACTTGGATTTTTTAAGTGCAACAATCAGTAGCCTACAGCAAAATCTTACATCTTCAGTGGAGCTGGATACAGTCTAAGATTAACCTTCATTTGATAGTTCAACTTCAAATTCAGGATGCTTTAGCCTGGTCAGAAAGTGAACATCTACTATAACCTGTGAACCATTTTCTGGACAGCCATCCCACCCCCCGTTACCTCCATGAAGGTTACCCTGGCATAATGTGGTATGTTTTGTATAATGTGAGCTAGCCCTCGCAGGCCTTGCAACAGACAGAAGGTCTGAATGAGCCTGTAGCACGGCAGGACTGTTCTGGTCCAAGTATTTCCTCAGTCTGTAACTTAAATACAAACGTAGATGCAGGTCCTGGCTCTCTTTTGGTTTCCTCATCTCTCTTCAACTCTGCATTCGTGCCTCAACCACCAGCCTTGAACTGTGTGTAACCCTGTTTGCACAGGTGCCTTGTGAGCTGCTTTGGAAAGCTGATCCAACTCAAACCTAATCTAAAGACCAAAATTAAGTAGTCTGTTTATTATTGACTAAAAGAGCTTTAATACCCACAGGGTTCCCTCCCTTCTTACCCCTCTGAAACTAAGACTCAACTTAATTTCTACTGCCCTAAAAGAAAGGCTGGGAATGCATGCCTCTCCCAAACTCCCACACTGACACCAGAAAATGCGAGGAACCGGGGAGAAGCTGGCTGAGCGCGTGCCTTACGCTGCAGTCCTGCCATGCCCTGTCATTTCCCCCATTAGTAGCTGGTTGCACTTGTCCTTCAATCCTGCATTTCCGCTGCTCTGTTCTCCTACTTGGGCTGGCAAAAGGAATTCCAAAATTTAAAGGCTTACACATACAGCCATACAGATTTTTTTTATTTTTTTTTTTAGGATTAATGTAAATCTATCTCTATACTTAGAATCAGATTGTAACTGTATATGCCGCTATAAAATAGTAAGGCTTTGGCCATATGATTTATAATATTTGACTTTTATCATTCCATTGCTTTATTACCAGGTCATTTGTTAAGACCAGTTCTTGCCCCAGTATGCAATTAGAATTTGAAGCACAGCCACTTACAGAGTCCTTTCATTAATGAAATCCAAGACCTAGAAAATAGCTATGCAGGCAACTAATATTCTAATTTTTAGCTAGCCAAATCTGTATACTAAAAATTGAATGTAAAATTTAATACATTTGCATGATGTATTACTTTTCCACATTGCAGGCAGGCATCTTCCCAAATACACACACCTGTGTATTGGTGAAAAAGCTATTTGCACTGAGCTCTTTGTTACTAGTTTCTTTTGAGAGCAGTATCAGGCCTGAAGTATGTTGTTTGATCATACTTACAAGTCATGTAACATAGTAAAAGGTGGAGGCGTTTACAAGAACACACTGAAGTGACACTTCAGGGTGACAAATGGTCACTGTGCTGTTCACAGTGCTCAAGCGGACACAAAATTCTGCTTCAGATGTGGCTCCTTTACCCTTTCTTTCTCTCTCTGTTTTTACTGACAATTTTTTTTTTTTTTCTCTTGACCTTCTGCGCAAGCTTACAGACCTCAGCTTACAGAGCCTGGATTTTTTTTTTTTTTTTTATTATTACACATTGGTTTTGTACAGTTCTTTCCGTCTCTTTTTCTTCCATCTCTCCTTTTATTAAAAGGACAAATGTGATTTCCAAATATTACAGAGGTTCACCTTTGTTAAAAAACTTACTGACAAATAATTGGGCAGGTACCAATTAGGAATACTGTGGCAGTGGGAAACATTGACTTGAACTCATTTTTTCAAGTTCTGTCCCATCAATTAATTTTCCAGAGGTTACCTTGAGGTTACGCTGCTGGTGTAATAAGGTATGGGTGTATGTGTGTATGTCCTATAGAAAAATCCCACAGATGTGTGTTCTAGCACAGGGGACAAAACATAAATGAGTTGTCACACATAACCAGAGCAGTATAGCGATTGTGGAGGGGCAGCAGGAAGGCCAGAACATCAGCAGAAAATTTTTATAGTTACAGTGGGACACTGGTACTAAATTTCCTAGATCTCCCAATCATTCTGGGGAATATATTTTCAAATAAACATTCATAAGGTGAACATAAAAGATCTTCCAAGGAATAGACTTCAGTACTTAACATTAATGTAAACGAAAAAAGGCTTTTACTGAGGAACGGTTATGGTGGAGAGGGTCTGTACGTAACATTGTGTACAAAATTTTCTCTAACCTAATCCAAGGGGAATGTGCAAGCTGCCTGTAGAACAAGGAAACTTGAAAAATTATCTGTCCATTATCATTAACAAGCCACCAAAGTTTAGGGTGGAAGGGCGTATTCGAAGCTGAGGAACAAAGAATTCTAGCAACTGCAAATGTGATTCTGTATTACGCTTGTGTGGCAAGGTTTTGGTAGCAGGGGGGCTACAGGGGTGGTTTCTGTGAGAAACTTGACTAGTTCTGGGCAGCCACATGCTGTCAATTTTTAGAACTGCCTTTTTTTTGTCTATTTTGAAAAATAATTCCACCCATAAACCAATGAAGTGGTGATATGTCTGTTGAAACCAGTGGTAAAAGATTCCCTAAGATCAGAGATTTCAGAATCTCACTCAAAGCAGACGGTCTGAAAAAAATGCCTTATACATGTAGACTCTACATTTACAAGTGGGTTTTGTATGAAGAATGGGGGAACTTGAAGAGCTTTTTCTGTACTGATGTTGCATTCTGGAGAA